TGTTTATCAAAGTTCTAAAAAAGTCTTTAGTTCGCGAAAAAGTATAGCTTTAAGCCATTATTAACTATTGTCCACTCATTATGACTGTAGCTTTAACAAGTGTATGGTCATCTCTAGTGAAAGCTTCGATACTTGTCATGACTGAGTGCTTGTTTCAATATTTAAGTTTTCTTTGATGAGAAAAGAAGAAAAAAGAAAATGGCTATTTCATTGCAAGTCATAGTTCAACATTCTTGATGCTAGCAAGTGAATATAATAGTTCTATATTGCAATTTCAGTTTCGAATCAACTTACTAGTCAGATTGGCTATCGTCAACTGCTTTAAAATATAACCATGAGCATATTGATTTGTTAATATGTTTCCATAACCAAATCTCATAAATCAGTTTGAACAATGATGGACATTCATGTCTCATCTGTTTCAACTAATATGACACCTGTTGTCTTCCTTTTTCCGAGAGAGCAGAAATGGACCAGCAAAATGATCAGAGCACTGATGGAGAGAATGAAGACTTGGAGCTGCCACAATTTGAGTTCTCTAAAATAGTCAATGCAACCAACAACTTTTCAATAAAAAACAAATTAGGCCAGGGAGGTTTTGGACCTGTCTACAAGGTATGCCTTTTCATGTACAAGAACAATAATGAACTTGGGTTTTGTTCAGGAAAGAAAAGGCATGCATTTTATTGGTGTGATTTTGTAGGGTACACTAGAAGATGGACAAGAAATTGCTGTGAAGAGGTTATCAATATGCTCCGGACAAGGATTAAAAGAGTTCAAAAATGAAGTTATACTGATTAACAAGCTACAGCACCGAAATCTTGTAAAGCTTCTTGGATGTAGCATTCAAAGAGAGGAAAAACTTCTGGTGTATGAATATATGCCGAACAAAAGCCTGGACTCTTTCCTTTTTGGTTCGGATCTCTCATAACCTTACAAAATTTTAGCTGGCCCGCTGTTACTAATAACAATGAGTCTTGGTTCATGATAGAATAAGTCTTCTGTTTTGAGCTTTCAAGTAGCATGAATGACGTATATATGATTACATCTTACCAGATCAGACAAAAAGTAAACTGTTAGACTGGTCTAAGCGGTTCAACATTATCTGCGGGATCGCCCGGGGGCTTTTGTATCTTCATCAAGATTCAAGATTGAGGATTATACATAGAGATCTGAAATCAAGTAACGTTTTACTTGACAAGGACATGAACCCAAAAATTTCTGATTTCGGTTTGGCTAGAACTTTCGGAGGCGATCAGACTGAAGGAAACACAAATAGAGTAGTTGGCACCTAGTAAGTATTCATTTTTCATGCTCTTTCTTTTAGGCCTTTACGATATTTGCAAGAGAGTACTCATCTGTCTTTTTTAATGTCGTTCTGTAGTGGTTATATGGCACCAGAATATGCTACTGATGGACTCTTCTCAGTGAAATCTGATGTCTTTAGCTTTGGTATCATGTTGCTAGAAATAGTAACTGGAAAGAAAAGTAGAGGGTTTTACCATCCAGATAACAACCTAAGCCTCATAGGATATGTAAGTATCCAGGGTTAAATTTCCTTATTACATTCAATCATTTTAGCGATTAATGATGAGGTTTCAAATGATCTAGGCATGGAAATTGTGGAAAGAAGGCAAACCATTAGAATTGGTTGGTGGATTGGCCGACGAGTCATGGAATCTATCAGAAGTCATGAAATGTTTCCACATTAGCCTGTTATGTGTTCAACAATACCCTGAGGATAGACCAAGCATGGCCTCAGTGGTTTTGATGTTAGGTGGAGAGAAGACATTGCCAAAGCCAAAAGAACCAGGCTTCTTTAAGGATAGAGGTCCTGTTGAAGCATATTCTTCATCCAGCAAGGTGGAATCATCTTCAACCAATGAAATTTCAACCTCAGTCTTGGAACCTCGGTAGTGACTTTGTAATTTTTCCTTCTAGACTTGGTATTAAACGATGTTTCAATCACTGTCCATATTGGATTGTCAGCTGCAGTAGTTCTAGTTCGGATTTGTGGCTGAAATGGGTCTGCTCTATATCGTGTTTTTGACATTACTACTGGTTGTAAGTTACAGAAAACGTATACTGCCATTACTTTTCTTATCTTTAGTTATTCCATATGTGTCATGTTAATGCTTCTCAAAAATTCCTTCAAATCCTTTCCTATTAAATTCTACTGATTCTAAGCATAACTCCTCAAGCATTGCAAATCTATACTTTTGCTAGTATATTCTAGTCTTGATTAATATCAAAAAGATATTACAATTAACTTTATCTTTGTATTGGGTTTTTACATGCAAGAATTATTGTGATTTCAATTTCATTTTTAAGCTAATGTTGCAAGCAGATTGGTTATCTAATGTATAGCCCTAAGTCTATATCTATCATGGACACAATTTTTAGTGCCTTTAGAACCATTTAAAAGCAACTATAGCTCATACAAGTTTAAATGACCAATATTTTAAAGAGTGAGTCTCTAGAAATTTTCAAAATAGGGCAACAAATATAATAACAATGAAAATCAAAACAATAACCATAATAGGCATATTCATCATAAATACCAATATAACCATAACCTAGGTCATCACAACCATAATGACGATAACGAGCTAGCCATAACTCATATTAAAATAAAAGCCTTTCATTTTTACAACTAACTTGATCTTAAATTCTTTCCAAATGAATTCATGACATGAATTACATATTTGATTAGTAAAAGTTGTATGAAAATAAAAATCTTAAACTTGTTAGGATGAATCGCAAGGGTACCATCACAACTAGAAAATTAATAAATACAAATAGAAACATCAATAAAATATTTATATCAATAAATTACAGTAAATTTTATCAGCAAAATATTCTCTCGCTATATTCATCTGTAAACACCAATGGAACTATTCTCTCGGTATATATCGAGGGAATTACAATGGAAAAATAAGGAATTAAGA